TCTACGCCATTCCAAATCAAGAGGCCACAACTGTTGCAGACGTGTTAATAAAATAATTCATCAGTAGATTTGGAGGGTCTCTGAAGATCCACAGTGACCAAGGCAGACATTTTGAAAGCCAGCTTTTCGGAGGAATATGTGACAGACTAGGCATGAAGAAATCCAGAACTACGACATTGCACCCACAGTCAGATGGAATGGTAGAGTGAATGAATAAGACCATTGAAAAATACCTGTCAAAAGTAGTTTCCAACCATCAGCGAGATTGGGATGAGTATCTTTCGCTCTTCCCAATGGCATATAGATTCGCTGTCAATTAATATACAGGCAAAACACCAGCAAAAGTGGTGTTCGGGCGTGAGATGAGACTACCGTGTGACCTCAAGTTTGGATGCCGACCTGGAGAAATCATAGCCGGTGAAAATTATGTGATCCAACTACGACGAAAAATGGACGACATGCATGAGTTAGTTCTCTCGCATCTTCAAATCGCCAGCGACAGAATGAAGAAGCGATACAATACCCAAGCCACAGAAGGATGTTTCAAGGAAGGCGAGAAAGTCTGGCTCCATAACCCAAAAAAGACAAAAGGTATATTCTCCGAAGCTTCAAAGGTCTTGGGAAGGTCCGTACCTCATTAAAACAAATAAATGTCATTTACCGTATAAGTAGGATCCCGAACGGTAAACCAAAGGTAATTCACCAAAACAGGCTGGCTCCATTTGAGGGCAACCATGACGAGGAAGAAGAAGTAAACTAGCTCCAAGAATCACCTGACTTTGTCTTTGAAGAATTTATGGGTGCATATGGAGGTACCGGAAAAGCAAGATATGGTGTTACAACCAACCCAGACAGCACACCAAATCCTTTGGATATTTACTGAACATCCCAATATCCACTGAATGTCCAGTCCATGGTAGATATATATTTTATATCCATGAGATGTAATTTATAGACATGCAAATGTCCATAAATAATAGTAATTATATAGCAAATTATTAAAAAATTACGCCATTGTGCTCGCCATTGTGGCTAATAGTACCGTTCAGATATTTAAAAATAATTTTTTTAAGGTGTATTCAATATCCCATGAACATCCACTAAATATATCAAAGTCTAGGCGCGAACGCAAACCATCGTGGATATCCACTAGATGTTATTTGATTCTGCTTACTAAGTATAGACGGCGATACCACTATCGCATCTACTCATGCTCGACCCGCCGTAATAGAGTTCGATCGAAATGTGTGTCCTAATCACTCCATTAGAGACTGGAGTCGAGAATTTTCATTTATTGCTGAAGAGTCCTAATAAGGATGACTTTCTCCTTAGTGGGCAAAATCAAAGGCAGAGTGTTGAAAATATTTTGAGTTGAAAATATTTTTTATCTCTGCTATTTTCTTTCGACGTTATTCAATAATCATTGGTTACTTATGACCCTCTACTAAAGATACCCATAAAATATTTTGTTGAATATCCGAATATCTTCTATATCCTGGGATATAGACGGACATTTGGTTGGATATCCATATTGAATATATCCACAAAATATATTCTGTGGATACCTCTGAGATTTCTTGTATTTTCTGGAAGATACCCATTAGATATTTTGCTAAATATCCATTAGGATATCTTCTATATTCTGGATATAGACGGACATTTGGATATCCATATTAGATCCACGGAATATTTCTGATATCCTGTAGATATATTGGATATCCACAAAAGATATTCTGTGGATATCTCTGGGATTTGGCGTGTTGTCTGGGAAGCAACAACAATATCTGCTAAAGACTACTCGCTGGTCCATAGCACTTACGCCAGCATCAATAACGCTCGAGGTGTGGCACCTGTGTTCCGGAAGAAGTTTGGTCGATTGCCAGAACTTCAAGGTCGGTCACCGCCCCCGGAAAAACATTGAAACTTCAAGATGGATTCGTTATCTTTTCTATTTGGTAACGAAGAACACCTTCCGAGATCAATACTTATCATGATGCATTGGAAGCATTACTTAGTCTGAGGGAACACGTACTGGAGTCCAGTGTACAGAAACTAGCCATGCTCAAGATAGAGAGCAACCAGCTAAATTGGAGGATCATTAGGAAATAATCTCAAACATTCCAAGGTCCAAATACTAGTCTGCAGCCATTCGCTTAGTGTCCAGTTTCAGCGAAAAACGCTCCCTTGTTATTTCAATACGAATGGAAATTGTAAAAGTGGGTCCAGTTGCAGATACAATCATTCAGTTTTAGTCCCAGGAGGAACTATTTCTTAAGGAGGTGGCAATGTGACGCGAAGCCAGCCCTGTTCTTTGTTTATTAGCGTACACGCGACAGGAAGTCTAGCGCTGGCCATACCGAGACCCATCTGGAAACTCGAAAAACCAATCCGAATATTTTCCATCGCAGTCCTACGCGTGTAGGATAATTTCTAGAAATTCCAGACTGAGCTTCTAGTCAGAGTTTGTTATTTCGAGAGCGTTACATTTTTATATCCGCGATTTTGTCGATAGAAGATTCAATTTAAGTGTTGGATAGTAAAGACAAATTCTAATAAATAAATTAGAATTGTGAGTTATAATAGTGCCTGATAATTATATAAATTAATTAGTACGTTATAAATAAATTGTAATTAAACTATAAACAAATTAAACAAACGTAATAATATAGTTCTCCTCAGGATGCTCAATAGCATGATACAAAAAAATACATAGGTATAATAGGTACTTAGCCGACTAAATCTCGTAGCATGACGTATTGTGGTGCTGAATATGGCCGATTGGCTATGTGCAGATTAAATTTATTTTCGCATTGATCAGCTGATACTTCAAATTCGTAAAAGCCACGGCTCCGGGCCACAATACGTCACTGTCACGTAGTATCAATTTGCATCATATCATACCATCTTTTTATATTATCATGGATCAATAGCATAATTTTAATATTTCAAGAAAAAAGTTTTGTAATAAAACATGTCACAAAGATCTGTGCCAGAGACACAGAAATATAACCATTAATTGATAAAATATAATATTCATGATGCCAAGATTAATTCAACAATCAATACGCTCTATTGTAGGTCCGCGGTGAGAAGTAAGAGAGGGGATAAAGAGAAGAATTTTAGGCAGATACAACTTTTTTTTATCAATGAATAAATGTGTAAGCCGCTGTGCGCTTATAATAAACAACGTAAATATCCATGCCGGTGTAAGCCCTGTTGCCACTTCCAACCTAACACGACTAGGTTTTGGAATTTATTGAAAATTATTACATCTAATTTAGTTAAATTTGATATAACTAATGATTCAATTTTTTTTCGGGTTCAGTTGTAATAAAATAGGTTAAATTATTTTAGCTAGCGACTATGCCGCGAATATTCTCGTCATTAAATACTTTTTACATGGCTTCGCACCTACATGTTCAGACTAGCGCGAATTTTATTGCTTAGAAATGTATCCTATTGTATTATTATTTCGCTGCGAATTTTTCATCTCGGATTTACAATATGCACAAACAAAAATCAAAATTAGCATTTTATGAAAGTTATTGAGTTTATTCCACACTTTTACTACGCACTGTTTACATATTACAGTAGACCATAATTTCAAAAAGGGTACTGGTCACAAAATATTTGAAAGTAAAAATAAAAACTGTTTATTTTTTAAAAGCATTTAGCGCAGTTGTCCAAGAAAAAATATGGTTTAGCAGCATTTAGGAAGATATCAAAAATGTGAAGATTGACAATTAAAAAAATCTGATGTTTCCAACACATGACTTTCCTATCTAGTTATTACAGGCTTTTTCCGGTTATTTTGTACAACCTATTGTAGCACCTCTGTAAATGTTTAGAGAACAAATGTAATATATACATTTTCCACATACATCTAACTCGAAACATTTTTTTTATATATATACGAGTAATCATTGCCAACGAAAATACTGAAAAATTTAAATTTTACACTTTTCCTCGAATTTTTCCATTACGGTCCATTTTAGAGATCGATATCGCAAACAACTTTTAAAGTAATAATGTTCTTAAAAATCAGAATTTTGCACATTTTGTCAAATATCTCGAATACGGACCATTTTAGGAAAATTTTGTAAAGACCTAAAATTATAGAGAATAATAGAACTAAAATTCGAAATTTACACATTTTCTCAAATATCTCGAATACGGTCCATTTTACAGAAATTATGTATAGTACAAGAATTATAGAAAATAATATAACAAAACTTTTATTTGAACAATTTTCTTAAAAATTAAATTTGTTACATTTTGTAAAATTTCTCGAATACGGACCATTTTAGGAAAGTTTTATAAAGAGCAAAAATTACACAGAATATTAGAAGTAACTATTATTTAAAGAATTTTTTGTATCACGGCGAGCTTTGATTTGGTTTTCAAAGTGCAGATGCCATTACCATTTTGGACTCGTTTATTACTTTTGCATTCTAAACCATGCATAAGAGTTATTTCAAGAGGAAAATGGTCGCTCTTTGTTTCTGTGACATGGTCTATGATATTTTCTCTTTCTTTTATGATTCAACTTTAATTATTCAATAAGGCACATAAAAAAACAGATCTAAAACCAGCTACATTTTAATTGAATCTTTATAGCCATATTTCCTGGTTTTACATGTTTTTGATAAAATTATTTTGTGGTTGTACATCACTTAGTGTATATCACTTGTGTAAAAGTGATTTTTTACACTCGAGTGATTGTCACACTCTGCTTATGTCTCGTGGGACAACATTTCCCACTTGTGTGAATAATGTCACTTTCCGCACTGTAATGTAATATACTAGTCATAGCTTGTGCAAAGGGACTCAAGGACAGCCAGGATATGTACACGAGTATTAGCCTTATTATAATCAGCCCTGTAATTACATTCAAAAATAAAGAAACCATTCTACTAATTTTCAATTATTTATGTATCTTACCATTTTTTTTTTTTTTCAGTATGTCATTTACATTTAATAGTTTTTATTATAAAAAAAACCTCTGAATATTTAGCTGTGGATTTTTGCGAAACTAATATGTACAGGAGGTAACAAAGTATATTAGTTTTTTAGTATGAATAAGAGTTTGATGGATGCAAAACAATATCAAACCTGTATAAAAAATTTATTTTACATTATTTACAAAATATGAGTTTGAATACAAATTTTATCACAAATTCTGTTTAAAAAATTAAAATACATATATAATTTTTTATTTGGGCCTAGTTCTATGTTGTCCTCCTCTTTGTCCTCTTTGGCGTTTTTGGTTGTCTGGTGGAGGTCCGTTCCCTGTCGATCTAGAAGTATTGCTATTTGATGTTGTTTTTGCGGGACCAGCAACATTGTTATGCTGCATGGGCAGTGTCATTGGAACAGTTGTAGTCACTGGAGACTGTGGAGGGCCCACACCTGCTCTTGTGTTATTATTATTATTTGTTCCATTATTCATAGGCAGACTATTTGGGGTACCGGGTGGCAATTGAGGTAATAATTGATTCGGCTCACTCATATTAAGTTGCTCATTGAAAACCATGCAGAACTCACCAATTTTTTGTAAGTCTCCTCCTTTAGAAGTGTATAATGTTAGGCAGTTTCTCCAGACCGATACATACCCTTTAGTTAGTCTAACAATGTCCCCTGGAATCAGTAGTTGGCCAGCTTCATCCCAAATACTAGCATTAATACTGGCACTTTGATCAGCCACTTTAAAAGTTCGAACTTCGCGGTTTTCTTTGGTTATAGTTGCGTGACCCACCTCTAATATGATAAACACAACATTTACGTTTTTTAATCCAGGACGCATGTCCTTTATTTGGACATAATTGCTTTCCATTATTGTACTTAAAACACTATTTTAAATATTATGAAAAAAATAAATATAGTATGAATGCCCTAATTTAATAAAAAAAAACAAGAAATCTAGTTATCCCTTCGTAAAGTGCAAAAGCAAGTGTCAAAAAATATGTCACTCATTTTTGTTTAGGATTCTGTTTATAATGTTGGTACCATAGCCCTCAGAAAGTCTAGATACCGCTTGGCGTATACTGTCAATACAAAAAAGATGACCCCATTCAAGCTTGTCGCCATGTTAGGTAAATTTATGTTTTGGCTACACTGATTTTTAGTTTGTGTGTTCTGTAATACGTGAACACCGATAATCTGCACTTTGTTATTAGTTATAAGTGAGTGAGACGCACAATATCTAATTTCAAATTAAGAACAAAACTTTGACAAACCTATTTGATTTTCCTAGATCTGTTCAGACAGGACCGGTTTTATAAAATTTCTCGTTCTTGAAATGTTATTTTTACATGGTTATATATTATTGGATAAGTGGTTTGTGTACATATTGCTATGATAATTATAGAGAAATTCAGTGAGATTTATGTAATATAATTCAAATTACAAGTAAACCATCTGTTTCTGTTTGGCAATATGGAGAAAATACCTACTTCAATGTCAAATGTACTATTTAAAAGAATGTGATTGTTAACCGGTCATTTATTTATATTATATTATGAAAATAAAAACTCGAATTTTTTAACTAGGGAAAGATATACTTACATCGGTAACAAGGTATTTTAGAAAAACTAATAGATTACTCCTATTCCTATATAGTTTATTTGAAAATGAATAATAGCAAAATTATATAAAAATATGGACCTTTGCCATAAAAACTGTGCAAGCATTTTCAAATAAACTATAATGATAATTTGATTTAATAGAGCGAGTATAAGATCTGACCTGTTAGAGAAATTGGGGCATAGGGAAGAGATTATGAGGCAGGTAAGCAAAGTCATTGCAAAAGATAAATATTATAGAAGTTATTTTAAAAATTTGATAAAAAAACTAGTGGAACAACAAATGGAGTTGTCGCTATCGGAGATCCAATCAGCAGAAAGTAAAAAAAAACTTTGGGAATGTTGGAAAAGGGCCCAGCAATAGGCCCAAAACAATTCCTTGGTTTTTTAATAAATATAATCTGAGATGCAAAAAATACTGCTAGAGTGGAGAAGCAGTATTGTTCTAATGTAGAAAACCCAGGGACATACAGTAGTGCACTAACCATAGGCGAATAGTCACTAAATTATACAAGAGTCCCATCTCGATTTTATTTTTAAATATTTTTGAGAATACCTATTATTATTTGTTACATTGACTTTAATAAAACCACAGATTTCGAATGTATTGAAAGTTATTTAAAAAGTACCTCTATAAATATATAGAAAATGTGTATATGACTAACTGGTTTTATTAATCTTTTTTTGGGGTAGGTAAATATATTTTGAAAAATTTACAAACTTCTTTTGAATAAAAGACAAAATGTTTCTGTTTTTATTAACTGAACAATATTTTATACGAACATAATATATACCTATTTAAAAGAAAATATTACATTTTACAATTATCGCATATTTATATTTATTTATTTATTTATTTATTTATTTATTTATTCTACACAACCAGGCCTACTGGCCTTATTACAAGGATAGTTATTTTACAAATTATATAATACATAAATTGTACAATTTTAATTCTTAATTAGTAGCTAAAACTAAATTTACATTATCCAAACTAACTTAAACTAAACTAAAGGGGATAACAATTCAAAGTACAATGTTTAACCAACTAATATGGACTATATTATTCAAAACAAAAAATGACACTTCTAAAAATAAAAATATTTTAACAAATTTAGGAAATAAATTTTTCGTTTAGAGCCATTACTTTCTTAAATAAGAAGGTGATATGTAGAGTATTATTTTTACATTATTTTATTTTGTTATTATACAGACAAGTTATATATGTATTTCACAATTACATTTTTAAATTTATTATAAGGAAGGTTCCAGTCGATATTCAATATATAACTAATATTGTTTCCTAAGCGAAGCATTTCTAGGAGAGGAGCACGGTAAGTAGAACTGACAAATGGTATATTAAACATTGGCATATTGCGTGTTATTCGTGATGGTACATTAAATGTGATTAAAGATAGCAACTCAAAGGAATTATAGCTGCCTCAAAGTCTGAATCATTTATAGAATTAATAGAGAACGTATCATTGTTCAAATTTTGGTAAGTATTAAAATTAACATTATAACTGGATGGAATTTGAGAGTATACGCTAGCAAAAAACTCAGCGAAACTTTGCGCAGTATCTTGTGATTGTATTTCAGTCCCATCAAAAGTAAAATTTGCGTTGTTTCCGCTTTGAGCCCTCTTATTCTCAACATAATTCCAGAATTTATTAATATCTGTTGTCAACGAATTTTCTATTGATTTAATGTAATTTTTATGTTCGATTTTTAACAGAGATTTTAATGTCTTCCTTGTTTGACAATATTGTTCTAAATAATAAGTTGAAATATGTTTAATTTTTTTCAGATTATTTTTTTCCTTTATTAAGTCTTTAATGGTCTTGTTGTACCAAATAGGATATTTATTGTAATTGTTAAAAAATTTAAAGTTAGGTACACACAATAGAAAAATATTATCCAAAATGGCATAAAAGTTTTGCAAAGAGCTGTCAATATCTTGCTCTTTATAAACCTCTCTCCAATTCGTATCTCTAATCAATTCACACATAAGTTTAAAATCCGCTTTTTTAAAGTTATATCTGAATTTTACCTCATTATTTAGATAGCTGTTTTTCATGATTTGTGATATCTCAGTATACATTTCCAAAGGAGGGTGGTACATATCCTCATTAGTTAATGGATCTTCCACTCGGTTTACATTACACACATTTTTCTCATAAGATATTACCAGATCTAGAGTTTTACCTTGAAAGTTACTTACATTATTAAATAAAACAAAAGAATTAAAATTTAAGAAATCTTCTAACAAAGACATTTTTGTATTTCTATTATTAGCAAATAGTGTACCCGCTCCCCTTACATCTGAAATATTAAAGTCACCACAAATATAAGTATGCTTTAAATCTGGAACAATATTATCTTGCAAAAAATTGACACATGATTCTAAAACGGCATTAGAACTACTTGGAGGTATATATAAACACGCTAACATGACTTTTAAATTATTTTTGAATCTCATTTGAATTACTACTGCATCAAAAAAGGAACTGACTGTCGTAATGTTCAAAATTTTAAATCTTTTGTTTATCGCGATTAATACCCCTCCGCCTTTTACCTTATTTGTCAGTTCTTTGTTTCTGTCGGCTCTTACTATAGCATATTTATTCAGATCAACAATTTCCCCATCCGATACTCCTTCTCCTAGCCACGTTTCTGACACCAGAATAGCATCATACTCTTGATCACAAGAATTTCTAAAAAAATCAACAAGTTTTGAATTCAATCCCCTAGCATTTTGATAATATAAAGTTAGTGCTCCCATTGGATTTATGGGCCCCTGAGCTCTAATAAATAAATAATATTAATTCCTAAAAAAATAAAATCAAACATCCAAATTTTTCATATTTTTAAAGTAAAATCAATAAAACATTTCCTATTAAAAGTTGGACCACCCTGTATTCAATGTATTCAATTCCATTCCAAAATTTCAAATAATTATTTTAATTTAATTATAGTGTTAGTTATCAGTATGAACCAAAAAAACTGAAACAAAAACAAAAACTACGTATGAGGTATTGAAAACACACAAAGTGAAATTTATAGTACATTATAAATATTAGTCCGTGGGCGTACTAGTTCGTTAAATTAAATAATTGCTGTTCACTTTTATGAAATAACTTACTCAATAAGAAAGAAATGAAACAAATTAATAAACAATAGATATGAAAAATTGCTTTAACAATTTAATCCTTAGATAAACTTATTCTTACATATTGCTTTAATCAATTTATTTACTATAAAAGTATATTTCCTATCATTTATTACATATAATAAAATAAAGCATAAAACATACAAACTATAATATGTACCTACTTAGAACGGAACTAATATTATTGTATCAAGGTAGTAATAGTGGACATTTTCCAAATAAAAAAAAGTAAAAAAGACGTTTTTCTGACTATTGGTCTTCATCAGTACGGTGCAGCCAAGTTCAAAGGATCATGGAACTTGTGTTGGAAAAATTGTACAATAGGTCACTAACAAGGAGCCAATAACACATTTGCCGTTTCAGCTAGTATCCCCAAATTTTCTGGGCTTATACTAAAGTCACAAAATGATTCAATGGTCTTCCTATGACTATCAGTTATTCTTTCCTAACATTTTTTTGTATGCTACAACAAAACATACAAATTATTTGATTTTGTAAACATACAAATTATTTGATTTTGTAAATACACAAATATTTGTGAAAATTTACACATGAAATGTTATTCCTTCCTTGTATCTTCTACCGTTAGATGCATTGTTACATTCACGTACAAAACAAAAAGAGATTTTGAAAAAAAATTTAACACCAAACCACAAACGTTTTTTATTAAAATAAAACTCTAAACGATTAAACTAAAAAATAATGTTTTAAATAAAACCTTTACTAGAAAAACAAAATAAACAACACAACAGATAATAAAATCGATTATATACGTCGAACGCCGATCTTACGCTTATTACTAAACTTGCGCCGATTCTGTCTTGTCAGTAGTGCCAACTTAAAATTTATTGACATTTATTTATCATGGCGCCCATCATATGGGGGGTCAAAATGTTTTTACGATGCGGTATCTAGACCTTCTGAGGGCTATGGTTGGTACTAACTAAAATAATCGATGTTTAGTGGTAAAGTCACGGCAGAGTGGTAAGTCGGTTTATACCAACTTATATACCAAAGTCATAATTTAAAAATAATTGCTTTTAGACCGAATCCACCGTTGTGTTAAACGAAGTTTAAAATGACATTTTTACATTAACAATGCAATTTTAATCTCCGTTTAACACAACGGTGGAATCGACCCTAATAGGGTTACCACCTGCCCTTTTTTAAAGGACAGTCTATTTTTCAAAGAAATTGTTCTTGTGACTTTTTAAAGCTTAAAAAAATGTCTTTTTACGGCACATGTCCTCTTTTACAGCACATGTCCTTTAAAAGGACCTGGTGTATAAAAATAAAAGCTGAGGACCTTTTATTTGAAGCTCGGCGGCAGAAGGAGTCGGGGTTTATTAAAAAAATATATTAGCCGATAAGGACTTTTTTTAGAAGCTCGCCAAAAATACTTCGTTTTTTAACCGGTTCAGAGGGATCCGGTAACGACAGAGGGTCGTTACCGTTGTCCCGCTTTTCCCTTTCGTAAATCTGGCAACCTTACCTTTATTCCTTTATTCACTTTTCGAAAAGGTGGCAATCCTAATTGCTAAACGAAGATTAAAATAACATTTTTACATTAACGTTTTAACCTTCGTTTAGTAATTTTAACATCGTTTAACCTAACGGTGGAATCCATCGTTAATACAGTGTACTTACTTGGAAAAAAAATTATTCAAAGTAGATGAATTTATAAATATATACATATATAGCACTTATAAGCCAAATACTTTTTTTCTTCTCAACTTCTTGAAAAAATGTGGGCGAATTAACATTCGTGATTGATGATATGGTACAAATTGTAATAAAAAACCTCAAAAAATCTATTATACTTAAAATATTACCGGTCTGTATTAAGCTGGGATTTCACTACGAGCGATGATATAAGATATCATATTATAACTAATATATTATGTAAATATCGCTTGCCATTATAATAAACCATTGAGAATAAAGAGGAGATGCTATGACGATGCTAAATTGTCCAAACCTTTGCATTACATATTTTTTTTAAATTTAATTTATTATTTTTTTACTCGAATTCTAACTGAAGTAGTTTACAATTCTTTTATAATGTTAATGTAAAAATGTCATTTTAAATTTCGTTTAACACAACGGTGGAATCGGTCCTTATTCAGTAGAGAATAAAAAGATTCCTTAAAAATCATCTATTCTGTTCTTACCAAGAATTTTCAAATATTGGCCGTAACAAATTGAATTCGAAAATGCCTAACTCATTTAAAAATGGTTACATATTGGTAGTTCTGAAAAATTGACATTTAAATTGTCAACATTTGTCAGTTGTCAGTAGTCAACTTATTCAAAAATAATTTATTCTTTATAAAATAATTATTAAAAGATAACTTTTTATTTCCAAGCGATGGCTGATGAATTAGAAAATGTAAAATCAAATGTAAATTGTAAGTATTTCTAATATTGTTGTTTATAATTTTTAGATTCCATCAATTACTGTAAAAGAGCCTCTAGACTTAGTTAGGTTAAGTTTGGATGAAAGAATCTATGTTAAAATGCGAAATGATAGAGAAATTCGTGGTAGATTACATGTAAGTTGTCACTAATGTTTGTATATAATTGCATTAATCATCTATTTCTATTTTAAAGGCATATGATCAACACATGAATATGATATTGAGTGATGCCGAAGAGACCATAACAACTGTTGAAATAGATGAAGAAACGTACGAAGAAGTTTATAGAACTACTAAAAGGAATATACCAATGCTTTTCGTAAGAGGTGATGGAGTTATTTTAGTATCACCACCAATGAGAACATCATAATTTATATACATAAAATTTCATAAGATTTAATTGCTTTTGTACTTTAAGAAATAAATAATTTTTAATTTTTATTCATTCAATAATATTTCTTAGTAAATTTGATTTAATCTAGCTAAATCAAAAAAAAAAAAAAAAATTACCACTTGGAGTTTACATAGCACTAAATTAAAAGAGAAGAATTTATATTGGTAAAGAATCATATATTGTAAATGTTGGACGTTTTGTATAAAGATGAATATACTTAAAATTATTATATAGTTACATACCTAACTAAAACAAATATCTTTTATGGGAATTACCAGACAATTGACATTGAAGATATACATTTTCATGGTTAATTAACTTTTAAGAGAACACTACATGTTAGGATTATATGTTTTTTCATCTTCATTATCATTTCACATGTACAAATAAAATAGAAAAGCTGCTACTAGAATAATATAGTATATCTTCTTTGAAAAAGGAACTTACACCAGCATTTCTTGAACTGTTTTAAATGCTGAGTCCCTTTAAAGTCTAACCTAAGATTAATGAGTGCAAATCCAAATAGCTGAAGTCGCCAATGTTTTATGTGCAGTAAATAGAAAGGTACAAATAAATTTCAGTTCACTTGTTCTAGGTTCGTACTCTTGAGAGAAAAATGAGACTTCTTATTAATAAAAAAAAAAAAAAAACTAATAACTATTCCTTTAGGTTTTAGGTAATTATTCTGTACCTCTACATTTAAAAATCTCCTTTAAAGTTTGAAAACAGCAAAACTTTCCATATTAGTCAGTTTTGACTTCTTTTTAAAGATTTAACTTTTTTATTGGCCGCAAACCAATGATCTGTACAGACAGATTAGTGCTACAACCCTTAGGTATAATATTATCCAAGATGACTTGCCTTCACACTCTTTAAACAATACAAGTTTTGTCTGTGGGTATAGGGGTAGGGAGGGTATTAACACAATGACATACTTTCGAGATCAGCTGTACACGTTTAATAAGTCTTCGGAATCAAAGGTGAATTTTAAGAACCAGTTTTCAATATACCTACATAGGATATGCTGTATATTTTCTTATATATTTAAATAAATAACTTAAATTTTATTCATTAAATAATATTTCTTAGTAAATTTGATTTAAAAAATACCACTTGGAGTTTACATAGTACCTACTAAATTAAAAGAGTAGAATTTATATTGGTAAAAAATCATATATATTGTAAATGTTGGACGTTTTGTAAATTAGTATAAAGATGAATAATCTTAAAATTATTATATAGTTACATACCTAACTAAAACAAGAAATATCTTTTATGTGAATTACCAGACAATTTAAATTGAAGATATACATTTTTCATGGTTAATTAAATTTTAAGAGAACACTCATGTTAGGATTATATGTTTTTTCATCTTCATTATCATTTCACATATACAAATAATTTTTAAATTTTATTCATTAAATGATATTTCTTATTAAATTTGATTAAAAAACAAATACCATTACCCAATATCCACTGAATGTCCAGTCCATGTATCTATTTTATATCCATGAAATGTAATTTATAGACATAAAAATGTCAATAAATAATAGTAATTATATAGCAATTATATATAATTGAGTTCGATCGAAATGTGTGTCCTAATCACTCCATTAGAGACTGGAGTCGAGAATTTTCATTTATTGCTGAAGAGTCCTAATAAGGATGACTTTCTCCTTAGTGGGCAAAATCAAAGGCAGAGTCCCAGACAACACACCAAATCCCAGAGATATCCACAGAATATCTTTTGTGGATATCCAATATATCCACAGGATATCAGAAATATTCCGTGGATCTAATATGGATATCCAAATGTCCGTCTATATCCAGAATATAGAAGATATCCTATGGATATCCAGCAAAATATCTAATGGATATCTTCCAGACAATACAAGAAATCCCAGAGATATCCACAGAATATATTTTGTGGATATCCAATATGGATATAGAATTCAGATATTCAGCAAAATATTTTATAGGTATCTTTAGTAGAGGTTCATAAGTAACCAATGATTATTGAATAACCTCGAAAGAAAATAGAGATAAAAAATATTTCCAACAATCAACAATCTGCCTTTGATTTTGCCCACTATAAGGGCACTAAGGAGAAAGTCATCCTTATTAGGACTCTTCAGCAATAAATGGAAATTCTCGACTCCAATCTGTAATAGAGTGTGATTGGTGGGATTGCCAAAAAAATTCGATCGAACTCATTTACGGCGGGTTGAGCATGAGTAGATACGAAAGTGGTATCGCCATCTATACTTAGGAAGCAAAATCAAAAATTACATCTAGTAGATATCCACGATGGTTTGCGTCCGCGCTTAGACTTTGATATATTTATAGTGGATGTCCATGGTATATAGAATACACCTTAAAAAAATTAATTTTAAATATCTGAACGGTACTATTAGCCACAATGGCGCAATTTTTTAATAATTTGCTATATAATTACTATTATTTATGGACATTTGCATGTCTATAAATTACATTTCATGGATATAAAATAGATATCCACCATGGACTGGACATTCAGTGGATATTGGGATGTTCATTAGATATCCAAAGGATTTGGTGTGCTGTCTGGGATAATCCTTTGTACCTAAAACTCGACTATAGTTTTCTGGTGATTGGTTTAGTACCTATAATAATATGTGGATGGACGGATGGCCGGACGGACCTAACAAACTGCGGAAGTGGAAACTTGAATAGGACTCGTTGCATTTTCTGTAATGACCATTTTTAAAACTACAGTTCATCAAATTTCTAGAGGCTTTCGACGGCTAGACAGAGAAAGCACTACTGACAGGCATCCCGACGGATTTACGCAATGAAAGTACACTCTGCGCATCAAGTATTTCACTATTTGATTCAGACGTAAATGTCAGATGTAAATTTCGCTAAAACATTTCTTTTATTTTCGTTTGTGTTTTTTGCTCATTACAGTTTAATAGAACCTAAGTATGGAGTTTAATAGCAAATTAAGAGGCCGCGTGATTAACAGTCAATCTCGCGAAATAATAGCCAATGTTATAGAGTTTATGAGAAGAGAAGGAAACTTTAATTCACCTTCAATACCATTTAAAAATGTAAATGATCGTGTTGCTGCAGCCACAGGAGTATCTAAAAACACTGTCGTCCGCATTTCTGGAGAGAAGAAAAGAATCGATAACCGTGAGATATCGGAATTCTCATCACCAAGAAAAACCATTAAAAAACCAAACACAGTTAATGATATAGATGAAGCTGCACAAGAATCAAATTTTATTTTTTTATTATTAGATAGCTATTTTTGTTTCTGAGTTGTGTTCATTTACAGGCTCAATTTTTTTCCGTTTCTCCTTTTTGATTTTATATGGGGTTTCAAGTTGTTTTTGACTTATTTCGACGTAAATCACAACAACACACTTTTTTAATAAAGCAAACAAGTGTTAAGAGGTATATGTACGTGTAAACTACAATTACAAAAAATTGATATGAAACCCATGAAACCACCAACAAAAATGTAAAGCTAGCTTCCGTACTAGAACATGGTGTCATTCGTCGAGATAATTTATCGTTTTGTTTAATAGATCGATCAAGAAATGTAAATATTCCCCTGTTATTTTTTATAAAATTATAAGAGAAATAAATTTTTTTCTAAATAGTATAGTTTATTATTTTGTAGAAAAACAAAATTTCGAAAATTTTAGTAATGTTTCAGAAACAACCGTTATTAATAATAGGTACCATTTTCCTTAATAAGGTAGAAATAAAATATAAACTATTTCCACGATTTACAAAGGCCTACAAAAAAATTATAGGTATTTTCCGCTATCCTATAAAATTTATATTTTCTGACTCAATTTCAAAAGGTTGAAGGAATTCCAAAACACCTTTTATGGCATAATAATTATTTTCAATTCTACATACTCCCAGACAGCACACCAAATCCTTTGGATATCTACTGAACATCCCAATATCCACTGAATGTCCAGTCCATGGTGGATATCTATTTTATATCCATGAAATGTAATTTATAGACATGCAAATGTCCATAAATAATTGTAATTATATAGCAAATTATTAAAAAATTACGCCATTGTACTCGCCATTGTGGCTAATAGTACCGTTGAGATATTTAAAATTAATTTTTTTTAAGGTGTATTCAATATCCCATGGACATCCACTATAAATATAAATATATCAAAGTCTAAGCGCGGACGCAAACCATCGTGGATATCTACTAGATGTAATTTTTGATTTTGCTTCCTAAGTATAGATGGCGATACCACTTTCGTATCTACTCATGCTTAACCCGCCGTAATTGAGTTTGATCGACATTGTTTCACAGACTTCATTAGAGACTGAAGTCGAGAAGTTCCATTTATTGCTGAAGATTCCTAATAAGGATGATTTTCTCCTTAGTAGGCAAAATCAAAGGCAGATTGTTGGGAATATTTTTTACCTCTATTTTCTTTCGACGTTATTCAATAACCATTGGTTAATTATGAACCTCTACCACAGAATAACCACTATTACAGAAATGAAGGCTTGCGTCGGCACGTTTGATGTCGGGGTGGCCAAAATTTAAAGTGACACTCGCTGACAGTTGACGTTCTTGCCGGTTGTTACACTGGTAAAAATTACCAAGAATCTTATAAATTCGGATAATACACTGAGAAAAGGATTTAAATATATGTAACAAACTTATTTAGCAACATCCACTATTTCTTCTCTGAATTGAAGGTTAGTGATATAATTAGAAAAAATAAGGCTTCACGATAATTTATTTTGAAGTAAATTGTACTGATCGCTATATTAAAAAAGAGTTTTTACTTGAGGAACCAGACCGAATGCTCGTTGTACTTAATTCATCAGTTTTTTTTAGATAACATTAACTCTTTAACAGAAGGATTCTATTACAAATTATTGATGTATTAATTAATTGTATACTTTCCTGAAAAACACCTTCAACTGTGATAGTTGGATCTAGA